AGCATGTGATCGGCAAACGTTCCCTGGGACCCCGTTCCAGGATCAACTGCGTCAACCTCCGGCATGCCAAACACTCGTGCCCATGTATGTGCAAATGCCTGCATCTTCTGGCTTCCCTGTCCCACGTGTCCAGCCAAGTGAAAAGAGGCGCCACAACGTATGATATTGATCCAAGGAAGTTGCGCGTCATCGAGCGGGCGCTTGATATCGACCAAACCAATGCCAACAGCATGGTTGAAGCGATAAGACTTGGGAACAGCATCAGGGCGGCGAGCGCAAGGTCGCATGTGCGCATCGCTCTGGTCGCACTCAAAGTTTTTCAGTGCCCAGCGTGCTACCTCAGGCTCTGCGCTTCCCCGTCTCAGAAGTCGGGCGAAGTCTCGATTCCCAGGGTGACCAGAGTCCTCGTGGGCAGCTGATCGGCAGCGGGTGTCTAATCTGGCTGAGCAGGTACTTCGTCATCGGCTATCGGGTTCGGCGTTGGGATCGTCAACGGGAGTTTCTTCAGGCCCATCTTCTTCAAGAGCTGCTTCCAGAGGAAAACTGAGGCTGGTATTGTTCACTGGAAGTGCCTGCTTGATCTGCTTAACCCGCTGACGACGATTCGCTCCAATGCCGTCCTCATCGAGCTCCGAAGATGAAGTGTGGACCCCGCTGGTGGTCTGCCGCAGAATCAGTCGCCATTCTTCCCTGCTCGCCTCGGCCGCTTCGACAGGATCCCGCGGGGTGGCGGACTGCCAGGGGCCCCCTGGGATGCCTCGAAACACGGCCGTGATGCTGGGCCAATCAGGCTTACGCCGGTTGCGCCAGGAGAAATGACTTGCCCAAACTGGCTGATACAAGTACTCTGTGGACAGATGCTTGCCAGCAGCGCGCCAGCGAACGTCACGTCGGTTGCGGACTTGCGATGAACAAAGAGTACGGCCAGTCCATCTCTTCTCCAGAGTACAGGCAGAAGACGGTTGAGACCACGCATCCTGCATACATTCGGTAGTGCCATCTGCATGGGCAACCGCTGCCACCCGCTCGCTGGTAAAACGATATGCAAATTGTGGGCCGACGGAGTCGGTCGGATTATAGGGGGGTGTAGCGGGCTGCTTGATGCGCTCGGACATGCGCTCCGCGACCATTGACGCATCTTCCGCCCGCGGATCCATCGGATGTCGTGCTCCTCCATGACCGTCTCGAATCCGTCCCCGTCGATGATGTTCTCGCGCGTCTCGCGCTCGGCCTCGCGCGCGTTCAGGCGTCGGAGATGTTGATGTGATACTGGGTCGCCCGACTCGTGAGTCTTCGTGCGCCGCTCGCAGTGCCGGAAGTCCATCTCGTAGACGTCCTTGAAGTTGTAATTCGCAAATCCCCCGAACGTCGCTCGTTCCATGGTCTGGGGCGCCAGTGCTGCCGCGGCCGTCGATCGGGGGCCTCGTCCAGCGCGTCTGGCAATCGTCGCGCGTCCACCACAGGGTCTTGTTACTGCCCCGATGGCGGCCTAGTCGGTCCTCTGGGCGCCCGAGCCGTCGGGCCCCAGCCTCCTGCCCGCCGCGAACCGCTCCCCGCTGCTGATCTTCAGAATTCGGGAGAAGGGTCGCGGGGGCGGTGCGTGGATGATGCCGCCTTCTGATCCAGGCCCCTGGCGCCCTCGAGCAGGTTCTTGTACATGTTGGCCCCGATGCAAACATAACTGCTTCCATCTCCGCGTCCGCTTCTCCGGGGTCATCGCTGGCTGACTGGGCCTCATCGGAGGTTCTGGCTGCGGCTCCTTCTCGGCGAGGATGCGCCGCGCGGCCCAGCGTAGCGCGGGGCGTCGGGGGGGCAGACAGTTGGCCGATAGAGACAGGTTTGAGCAGAGGGTGCTGCGGATCCGCGCAGATTACGGCGCCCTCGGGCTCAGCGACTTGGCGGCGGCCCTGGGTCGCAGGAGAGACTGTTCTGATTTTCTTCTTTCTCTGCCAACCTTCCACGGGGGAGCCAGAAATCTTGATTGCAGTGCGTTTGCCCGCCCCTGCCTCGCGCGCTCTCGACTGGCGGCCGTCGAGGGCGTTCCAAGTGATGGCGCCGCGCGGCAAATCAAGAACCGCGCCGTGCTGTCTGAGCATCTCCACTAGGGGTGCTAAGGGCCCATCGCAGACAATCGAATGCACCGTATGAGCACCGCAACTTTTTGCCGCGACAATAGTGTCCAGCCGGGGGGGGCCTGGGGGATCCTGCAACGCCCATGGCACCCGTTGCTAGAGTAGGTGCCTGCATGGGCTTCATGCGTAGGTATCCCCAAGATATCTCACAATTTTCTCAACTTGATATTTGCCAGGTATTCCATTCTGAGCTCCAATATCCACCGAACCGAAATTTATATGAACCTGAAGTCCAATGAAAACCTGACCTCCAGTGTCGGTAACAGCAAAGATAGGAAGGGTGAAGGAGCGGACTCGAGGCTGGATCGTAGGATCCCGTTGGCAAGCGTCATGCAGAACATCATCTGCTTTGAGGGGAACTGCTCGGGACCCGCCGGAGCCAGTTTGTCGCTCGCGTCCTCGCTAGTCTGGCTCCCCCGCGCAATCTCGAGCCCAATGCCCCAACTTCCCGCGCTCATCGATCTCCTTTTGGCCCGCCGCTTCGGTCGGGCATCTCTCGCGAGTCGCCCTCAAAGTTTCCCCGCTCGGGAGGCTTTGGGCTTTCCCTTAGGGGGTTGCTGTGTGAAGAAGCCTCGTCCCAGGTTCCGTTTGTGCGAGCGCAGTCTTACCTGACTGTAGTTGGCATAGATGGCGATGGCCCCTTCTCCTTCTAGAGCCGCGTCGTCGGGCAAACCTGCAGCTGCGAAGAGTGCCTCGTCATCGTCCATGTACTTCGCCGCCTCAGTCATGCTTTCGTCTTCCTCGTGGGCCTCGCGCAAAGTAAGCAAAGGCTGCTGCGTGCTACTCCAATGGGAATCGTCGCGGTCCGACTCCTGGTCCTCGCGCGCGTCATCATCTCCTTGATATCAGACCAAGTGCGAGGAATAACTCATACCATGGGTGCGATGGCCGCCTCGGCCAGAAGGTGGTGGTCGTGGTCGTTCAAGCTTCCGAATCTTTTCGCGCGCCAAGTCGAAATCGCATGCCCCCTCTGTCCAGCGCTCAGCCGTGTCCCGAGCAGCGTCATTCAGCTTGGATTCTCTCAGAAACAGGTATCCTTTCACGTCCTCTGGCAGGGTCGCGCGCTTCTCGAGTTCTCGGAAGAGCACGCGCTTGCGCGCGACATAATTGAGCGGGGCTTCATCTCGCTTGCGCTTGCTGTCTTCCAAAGAGGAAGGTGTATCAAAAGACTTCGGCTTCCTGCGGTCTTGGTGCTCGGCAGAAGCCTTCTGGGCCCGTTTCATCGCGGCCTGCCCGCCGTCCTCGGCAGACAACTGGACCTGGTAACTTCGTTAAAGACGCTTGAAGTCGTCTTTGGCATGGCGATCGATGAGGTATCGGCGCTGTGCTAGTAAAGTTCTGGTAGTAGCGAGCCGCGTCTGCGGCTGCTTCATGTAAGGGTCGAAGCGACCGACACGCCGAATCTTTTCCATCCCAAGTGGGGGGTAGGTCATTTGGTATCTCTGGGGCCTCCGATTGTTCAGGAAATTGCCACCGTTGGCGATCAGAAGATCTGGCAGTGGTATCTCCCCAATAGGTCGGGGCAAAAACAATAGAAGGCGTAGCCTGTCCTCGCAGAGGCGCGTTCTGCCGATCTGGTACAGCCGGCGAACCGCGTCCCCACGCAGTCCAACCTGACCAGATTATTGCGTATCGGAGTGTGTCTCCGTCCACGGCTGTGATAACCAGCGGGCCCAATCCTGATCTGACCAATCCACATTGTCGTCACCTTCCCAAGGAACGTCTTCTCGCCCCCCAGCTCCTGCACAAGGATCCTGGTCTGGTTGTAGCCAAGGATCTTCTGGAAACTCATCTTGCTGAAACTGAGGGTCGTCAGGGGAATCCATGGCGGCGCTCAGTGCACTGGGGTAGAGAGCGGGAAGAACGTGATAATATACAGAGTCTGTCGCCCGAGAACCGAATGACAGGGGAGTCGTCCTGACTCCCCTCGTGGATCTCAACCACAAGCTCCGCTGCCATTGTGGATTGTGCGGGGATGACTGTATGGATACAGAGACACGAAATACAAATAGGGGGACCCGTGCTAAAAGAGAACATGTTCTCTTCTCTTTTACGGAGGCGTGGGCGCGTCCGTGACCGGCGCGACATGATAGCAAAAAGGCCCTTGTGAACCGATGTAGCGGCGCGCAAGGGAATACAGAAAGAGAGAGAGAGAGAGAGAGAGAAATAGAGAAAGAAACGCAGGAGGAGGAGAGGATGACAGGGGCCTGACAATCACAAGGCCTCTGCAAGCGGCCCCAGGAAGGCTTTCCAGGCGGTCCCAGGAAGTGGGCTCCAGGCGGCCCCAGAAGGCTTTTCCAGGCGGCCCTGGGAAGCGTGTCCAGGCGGCCGCACGAAACGTCTCCCCAGTTGGCCTTTCCAGGCGGCCCCAGTTGGCCTCTCCAGGCGGCCCCAGAAAGCCTCTCCAGGGAGGTCTGGGGGTTTGTTCGGTAGAAATGAGGGGTTTGTTCGGTAAAGTCCGGGGGTTTGTTCGGTAGAAGTCTGGGGGTTTGTTCGGTTCCTGTTGGAGGGTTGTTCGGTAGAAATTAAGAAGTGGCCTTTGGTGCGCGCCCTCAGAGGGGCCGCGGGAGCGCAGGGGTGGACAAATCCAAACGCGCCAGCCAGTGCTGGGGGGATCCCTGTGGGCCCGCATCAGAAGGGATTTGGGTCTTCAACGGTTTTCGGGCCATGCCTCGAACCCCCGGCTGCCGTTCGGGGGGCGATTCGGGCACCTCCAGAGCGCTCTCGACGAGGCGCAGCTGCTGAAAAACATCTCGAGGCTGGACGACCTATTGGCACGGACGACGACGTTCAGCGTGCCCGCAGCCAAGGCCACTCCAGCGAAAGGTCACTCTTACGCGTGGCCGAAAAAACAAGATCAATTAGTTTCGAACCGGGAAATTAGATACTATTGGGACATGCGCCTGATCGGGCTGCATCGGCCGGCACGGGGTAAAACTCACATCGGATCGGCCGATGCAATGTGCGCAACAAAACGCCATGCGAATGACGGGCCTCATCGGATCTTCCGGACACCGAAACCGAATCGGATCGAGCCGGCCAGAATCGATATAGCACCTGAAGGGTGGAGAGAAAAGATTGGCCCCGAGGTCTCCTGCCTGCCCACGCGCCGCGCCCGTCGTCGCGCCTCCGAGGCGGTCTTGGCCGAGTGGCAGACCGCGCACAGCGTTTGCAGGTTCTCCAGTCCGCAGGTCCCGCCCCCTGGGGGGGCGTGGGAGAGGGGGATGGCTTCCCAACCGGGGGGTCGACCAGAAGCCTAACATCCTCGCGTCGTGATAAAAATCAAGGCGAGATAATTTTGGACATTTTCGGCCTGCGGGTGTCCTCACCAGGCCCCACAACCGTGAACAAAACGACTCGGGACGAAAAGCGAGTCCCAGGAAAGGGGTCTAGACCTCGGGGGGGCCGCGTTGCGAACAAACATGCGACGTCGGATGTCTGGGAACGCAGGGTGCTCACATCCTGCTAGAAGCTTCAACCTTGCAGCTGTGCGCCAACTGGAATCTCCCAACACAGGCGCCTGGGTGCTGAAGCCACCGCCCCGGACGCCACTCCTTTGCAGGCATGCGTGCATGCATCTCGAGGCTCCCAGGTGGTGGCCGAAGCTTGCTTACCCCATCCGCACGCAGGGGGCGCTCCTGCCAAATGGCAACGCTCGCGGAATGGGCAAACCCGCAAGCCCGGCTTCGGCCATCGCATCAGGATGGACGCTTCTTAAATGTTCCCCAGTAGCTGGACATCCTCAAGACGGCCCTGGCGGAAACGCCCAAAAGCTAACTTGTTGTTCTTGCTCCGCCAGGCGCTGCCAGGCCGCACCCGTGCCTGAAGCCCGCGAGGCGTTGGGATTCATGAGGGTCAGACTTCTTCTGACTTCGGCCCTCTTGTATAGAGGCGAGTGGGACGGCGGAACCAAGCTCCTCCCTCGCGGTTCTACCGCCTCGGCCAGCTCGGGGGGGACCATACATCCGATGTCCTTGTTTTCTTGTTGCGACAACGTTGCTCCAGAGAAAGGCCGGGACCCCTTCCTAGAGGCCAGGTTCTCTTCCTGGGTTGGTTTTTGACTGTCCCTGGGCCCAGTAAAGACCCTCGTGGGTCGAACCATGCCAACAACATTCCGCCACTATTTTAAGCAGGGGATATGTCAACCCCTAATTATCCCAGGCTTCGTGGGGTCAACGATGGACCAGAAATTGGGGGTTCAACACTGGGATGTACGATGGGTGGGGGGCGTCCGTCCTTGATAGGGGTGCGTCGGAATAGCTCCCTTGGGGTGTATCCCAAGGCTTGGGGTGTATCCCACGGCTTGCCCCTTTTGCTGAGCGGCGAAACTTTTCGGGCCGATCTCGGGGATTGAGGGAGAAGAATCGCCTACCACTTTTCACGACGCGAAGATGTCAGGGGGGGGGGAGGGGTCACGGGCATTCGCTGGCAGCCAGACAGCCAAGAGGCCAGTGACGAGGGTTCGTGAAGAGAACCCGCTGGCGCGGGGTCCAGGAGCGTTGGCCTCCGAGAGTCCGTCCAAGGGTGGGGACATCCCAGCGCTGAATGGCAAAGCGTGTGGGACGCTCCAAAGAAGGGCCTCGGCCTCGAGGGAACGGGAGGCTTCCATCTCTTGCTCGGCGGAAGGCAGGCGGAAGCAAAAAATACGCCTTCAAAATATGAAGACTTTTGCTGATTCAGAATTTCCGGACCCCGCCATCTGGACACCCGTGTCTAGGTTCGGCCTGGGCGAGGCTACCCAGAGCTCTCGTGCGAGATTCAGGCCTATCCCCGGCGCGCCAAATCCATGCCGTGGGGCTCCGGAGACTTAGACCCTCTGGAGGGTGTGCCCCCGACGCCAATGCTTTCAAACGTGGCGGCGCGCAGACAAGGGGGTGGCACGATGGGGGGGCGTCATGCCTTCTAGGAAGCCCCCAAGCCCTTCTAAGGAGGCCCCATGCCTTCTAGGAAGCCCCCGCGCTCTGATAAGCATAAGGCCGCCCCGCTTGCGCCACGAAGCGTTGGTCCGATACTGACAAACAAATACTGTACCTACACATGCTTTGATTGTCTGGCTTGATTGCCTCAGCTTGATCGGGGAGCGCGCCACCTTCGAATACGGGCACCTTGTGGTCCGCCTGCCACAGGACGCCCTCCGACAGCCTGGTCAGCACCCGAGCGGCCAACTGCGCGTTCGCCGCGAGGCCGGGCGCCGTCGCCGCGAGGCATGCAACGCGGCGGCTCTCGCTGCCGGCAGCCAACAAGCTCTGCAGGAGCGTCGTGCAGTCCAAGCCTACAGCAAGATACGTCGGCATAATTAGGCACAAACTTTCGGAGGCCCGTGCGTATTTGACCCGAGCCTGCGGCAAATAATCTCCCCGGCGTTATGACTGGCACGTAAATCACGTACTTAATTCCCGAGAGGGGGGGACCTTCGAACCAGATCGTTAAGCACCCACAATCAATAATTCTTCTGCAGGGGAGCGGTGGGAGTTCGAGGAGCAGAAGAGGACTCCGTATTGGGTTCGCATCGAAGAAGAATTCTGCTTCGGTTCTCCTCTACACCACGCAAACTTGGCCGAAGAATCCTCTTGGGCTCTCATTGGGATCCGACTGGGGTTTCGTTGGGATCCTATTGGGATCTTGGTGGGATCCCCCACTGAGTGGTCGGGGGGCAGGGTATCAATTCTAGGGGACGAGAAGAAGTAATTCAATTTCGCCGAGAAGTGGGAGGTGGGGGCGGGGCGGGTTCTTGATCGGGGGCTCGGATCGAAGACGCTGGCGGCGCATCACCGGCCGCTCCCTGGGAGTTTGTCGAAGTGGTTCGCAGCATCGAAAGTCGTGACGCGGCGCGTATGCCAACTATCAAATAGCCATCGGCCCATCCCGCCACCATGATTGGTTTTGGGTCGGAGTCCTCATGGACGCTTCCTGGGGTCTCTCGAGAGGGCTCTCGGGGGCCTCTGCGGGGGAATTTAGGGGCCTCTCGGGGGCCATCCTGGGGACTTTTTGGGAGCCTCTTGGGGCTCTCTTGGGGCCCCTTGGGGCTCTCTTGGGGCCTCTTGGGACCGAAAGCTCGAAATGTTCATTCGGGTTCCTCTTCTGGGCGCCCTCGTGGGGCCGTCCTGGGGCCCCTCTTGGACCGTTGGGCCGTCTTGGGGCCCTCTTGGGCTGTCTTGGAGCCCTCTTGGGGGCTTGTTGGGCCGTTTTGGGGCGATCTCGGGGGCCTCTTGGGCCGTCTTGGAGCGTCGGTAAGCCGAAATGGCGAGAACGCGGAAATCCTTCAAAAACCATTGAAACATCAATGCTTTTTGTCTCTTGGGGCTCTCTTGGGGGTGCTCTTGGAAGCCTCTTGGGCCGTCTTGGAGGCGTTTTGGGCCGTTTGGAGGCAATCTTGGGCGTCTTGAAGCGATCTGGAGCCGTCTGGAGGCTCTCTTGGACCATCTTGGACTCTCTTGGACCGGCTTGGGGCGCTCTTGGGTCGTCCCTGGGCTGTTCTGGATCTTGAAGGGCCCCAGGGGGAGGGGGGTCCGGCGGCAGAGTGGGGCCCCCTCGGAGGAACTTCAGGGAGGTTTTTGACCAGGCACTGGCGAAGGGGGCCAAAGATTGTGCCAAACACTCTGTCAGAGAGGTCTCGCACGGCCCAACCCGCCGGGCGGGAGCGGCCGGATCATTGGGTCGGAGTTGGAGGCGCCCTCTGGGGGGGACCCAGTGCTGACACGAGAAATCCGCGCGGAACTCCAGAAGCTTGTGCTTGTGCCGACTTTTCTTACTCTTCTTCTAATTCCTCGTCTTATTCTTATTAGCGTTACTCTTTTTCTCCGACGGGCCGCAGGATTGGCAGACGCCCCGCTCCAGCTCGAACAGCTGCCGCCTGATCGGGGGGTAAAAGTGGGGTAGGGCCAGATGTGGGGTCAGAAAGAAATCGCTCTGGACGGCCTCTGGAAGTAAGACACGTCTCAGCCTCAAGCCGGGCTCGCTCCCTGCCCCCCATCTTGGGCTAAAACCTCTGTGAGTATTGGGCCGCATCGGATCGTCCAACATCGAGATTGGACCAAGAGAACTCGGTACGGAATCGGATCGATCGAACCGACATGGGGCCTGCCTGAGACTGCAGCCACTGCGCTTGCCGAAGAAGCGCGCGCGGCAGGCGCCGGTGCAGAACAAGTGCGTGTCGTCGTCCACGGCGCAGGCTGCGCGGTGGGTGACCCGCTCGCCAGAGGGGCCTCGGGCAGCCTGTGGGAGCGGCTCGGGCGGCGGGGCGGCGGCCATGTCCAGGGCGCCGAGGCACTCCTGTAGCGCAGGGAACCACAAGAACAGACGTGCGGCAAATGCCCAAACCCCTCCCCGCGTCGCGCGAAAATCACGGCGGAATGTCTTTGGCATTTTTCGACCTCCCGGAACGAAAAACTGTCCCATGGGAAAGGGTCAAGACCTCTGGTGGTCCACTTTGCGACACATTCGCGACGTCGGAGGTTTGAGTGCTCCCCTTTCGTGCGGCAAGGCAAATTCGTGTGGTGCCAACTTTGACGTTGGTTTCTGACACTGCGTGGATCGTTCAGCCTTGAGCGATCGCGGCTTTCCGAAGGCGTAAATCGTTCAATGTGGGTCGATTCTGGCTGCGGTCAACCTGGAACGCCCTCGCCGAGGTCTCCGCCGCGTCGACATGACACGAACCTGCCGCACGCGCCCAGCCACGCACACGAGTATGACCACGAGTTCGCGAGGCCGCCCCCGCGTGACGAGCGCTCGCGTTAACGCGTTCCCTCGGACTCCGCGTAGATTCATGTGCGCTTGCGTCTTGGTTTTGCTCCTGATGTAGAGAGGCCCAGAAGGTGGGGTCGGCCAGGCGGCGCCAACAGCTCCCTAGGTAGGCTCCAGCTTTGGAAGGGACTGCCGCGGTCCTGCTGGGAGGGTGAGGGGTGCTTGGGCCCTGCTTTTGTTCGTGATTCCGCTCGTGGGGGGGCTCGGTGGGGACGAGGTCCGAATACCCTTCCGCCAGGGGTCCAGCAGGGAAGAAGCAGAGTCTGGATGGTGGCGCGCTGTACTCGCACGTTGTCATGCCGGCCATATGCATTCGCTGGCCTAATGCATACCACTCGCCTAAGCTTTAAACGCACAGTTCAAGGACTGGCTGGCGCGCGGACCCGCAACAATTCAAAGACCGAACTTGGGACAGTCAAGGGCACGGCCGAACGAATGAACTCGGCGGGCATGGGGCCGAGCCGGGGGACGGTCGGACGCGCGGCCGAACGGAGAAACTCGCAGATGACCAGACTACTATACTGAGCCGGGGGGCCATCGGGGACCTGGCCGAACGAAGAATATCGGTGGCAATTCGGACACCGGACCGAGCTGGGGAGATTCAAAGGCATGGCCGAAGGACAGAGATTGGTGCCAGTCGGGCCAGGGCACAGGGCTGGGCCGGGGAGAGTCTGGGATACGGCCGAACAGCAAAAACAATTGGCGGCAGCCAGGGCACGGGACCAAGCCAGGGCAAGAGTCGGATGCACGGCCGAACCAATACAATACAAGTGGCAACCAATGTGCGCGACCTGGCCAGGGACTGTCGGGAAAAGGCCGAACAATGGAAATCTGTGGCAACCAATGTAGAGCATCGAATCCAGGACAGTCGTGGGCAAGGCCGCACGACGGGAACCAAAGGCAACGATGACACGGCCCGAGTTGGGGACAGTTTGGGATACGGCCGATCGAATGAAACTGACGTGATCAGAACACTGGGCCGAGCCATGGACAGTCGTGGGCATGGCCGAACGAAGGGAATCTCATGCGCCCACATGGTGCACACTTACTTACGTACGCCATCGGTGAGAGCTGTACGTACGCACATCCTGCGTGCATCCAGTACGTGCCAAGATCGTATTTTACAACTACCTTGATCGCGCGTGCCCTCTCGGAGGCTTGCTGATTCGTTGAATTTCGGGTTCTTCTGGTGCCATGTTGCCCGCTCCAGAAATCCAGAAGACAAAGAAGTCGCACCAGCCCTTTAGGGCGTAGGCGGCTGAGCAAGTTAGCCCTTCCAACCTCTTGTTTCTTCTCCGGGCAGAGGTGGACCTCTCCAGCTGGCCCTCTCCCTGGGTCTTGAGGGGGGGGTTCGCAGGTCGTTGGAGCGTCCAAGATGGTTCCAGATGGCCCCGAATAGCCCAAGATTGCCTCAGCGAGCGTTTTTTTGTGCTTCTTTATTCTGATATTTCCAATTTTGTTCTAGAGCTGGTGGACCAAGGGCAAAAGGCGCAGCCGCCGGTGCCGTAGCGCGGTGCCGACTTAGTGGTGCACCTCTGGTAGCTGCACGATGCGGCGCGCAGTTAAGATCGCACAATATAGACCAAGATGGATCAATCTGATACCAGAGAAAAACCCAATAATAATCTTCTTAGGGCTATAGGGCTATAGGGCTATAAGGCTATAGGGCTGTAGGGCTATAAGGTTATGGGGCTATGGGACTATAGGGCTATAAGACTATAAGGCTATAGGGCTACAGGGCTATAGGCTCTAAGGGCTATAAGACTATAGGGATATAGGGCTATTGGACTACAGGGCTATAGGCAAGAAGGGCATTAGGGCTATAAGGCTACAGGCTATAAGGCTATAGGACTATAAGGCTATAAGGCTATGAGGCTATAGAGCTATGAGGCTACCGGGCACCGGGGCACCCGGGCACCTGGGCACCCGCGGAAATCGGCGGCGCACCACCTAACCTAACCATTTGAATCCGCTAAGACCCCTACAGAGGCAAACTCTGATAAGAGAATGTCTAGACTCCCCCAATACGGCATGTCTTGTGGGGACACAACATTTTTTTGCCTCTGCCTACCTTCCGCTGGTCTCCCTTGGCGGAACTCTGCCAACCTTCCGCCAGCTTCCGCAGGTGAAGAGAACGCAACTCCTCAAAAGGCCCCTGTTTGGAACGCCTCCTTTGGATTGGATGCATACTCATACGTCCAGACGAGCCGTTTTGCCTTTCCGATGCGTCCTGATTTGGGTTCGGCTGGTGCCAGTTGTGCTCGCTTGCCATGCGACCCCCTGTGTAGGCACGCGCCTTGCAGCTACGGGGTCCGCGCATGCCCTTTGCCTTCTTGATGCGTCCACATTCGGGCTCTTCTGGTGCCATTTGGCCGACTCTGGAAACCTTGAGCCGATGTTTGCCTGCGTGGATCCCAAAAACAATGCGTTATTGCATCCTGGATGTGTGTTATATGTGGTGCGAACTATGTGTCGCACTCTAGTTGGGCCAATCTGTGATCTAACACATGCGGTGCTGATTAGGTGTTGCAAGCTGTGCGTTGCAAATAAATGAAGGGAAACCCCAAACGAAACGTCCAGCCCGGTCCACGGACACCTTCGGTGGTTCGCCAAGGAAAGAGCAATTCGTTATGAATTGTTGCAACCGTGAACTCCAAACGTATCCCACCCACACACCCGCAACGTGTGGGCAGAACTCAACTGTCGTACTGACGCGAGAACCCTTCTCATGCAGATCCGTGACTTGGGCGTGCGAGTGTTGATGATAGTGCTGCTGCTGCTGCTGCTAATGATGATAATGATGATGATGCTGATGATGAAGTGAAGACAATGACCACGAGGGTGGCCCACATTAACGCGTGTGCGCCGCATGGTATTTTTCGTCATCGACGAGGGGGGAATCTATCGGGTGTAAGCTATGTTGTGAAATCCATGTGGTGCAATCTATCTGGTCCAAACTATGTGGTGCACTGTACATGGTGCAAGTTGTGGTGCAGCATGTACATATGTGCATATTTACATAGCTGATGCAATACATGTGGTGCAAGCTATGCAATGCAAGCTGTTTGATGCATTCTACGTATGGTGCAAGATATGCAGTACAAGCTATGTGCTGCACTCAATGCCATGCTAGATATGCGAGGCAATCTATGTGGTACCCCTTAACACCAACCCAGCGCACAGGGCGCCTCACGAGGCGCCCACGACTGGTGACCCATTGGGGAACAAAGCAAAACCCCGACAGACACGAAGAACGCACAGGGCGCCCACGAGGCGCCCCCAACCGGCGATCAACGGGGCACCGAGCAACCCCCGTCAGATCCATTCAATGACTTGTCAATGCCAGTAATAACCCCGAATTGTAAAAACACGCGTGAGTGAAACACCTTGCCATCTCTTGGGGCGCATAGCACATCTTTTACTTCCGCTGGCATTCGCGCAAGATCGATGAACATCGAATCGGGAACTCGGATCGAATCGGACAAGGAATCGGATCGGACCGCAACGGCACGGAGTCGGAGTCGGAATCGAATCGGATCGGCTGCGCCGGGATACGCAACAACGCCATGAGAGCACTGGGCCGCATCGGATCGTCGGAACATCGGAATCGAATCGGATCGGGCCAGCCAAAATCGATGCCGAATCTGATCGATCGGATCGGAATGGGCCTCGCGCCGCCGTCTCACGTCTGCCGGCTTCCGCCGAGAGCGAAGACGCAGATGCCGAGGCACTTTCTGGTGCGCGCCCGTTTGTGCCCGCTGGCCCCGAGCTCCATGCACAGCAGGGCCGAGCCGTCGGCGGAGACTGGCTGCCAGAAGCTGAGAGTCCTACCGCCGAGCCTGCCGCACGCGTACGCGACGCGCACCTCGCAGCGTGGCGTCGCCGCCGCCCCCGGCTCGTCGCCGTCCGTGGAGGAGTGCCTGGGATCGCATCGCGCCCACCAATCTGTGTGCCGAGACCTCCTCGCGCCGCGAAAAAAGGCACGACTGGTCTTCGTTGGCAAATTTCGGCTCCCGAGGGCCCTCACTCGGCCCAAAGGCCGTCAACAAGAAGGCTTGGGATGAAAAAGTTGTCTCAGAGTCTCTGAGAAGGGTTCGAGACCTCTGAAGGTCGAGGTGGCGAACAAACAATGGCGGCGCGCAGAAGGGGGTGGCACGAGGGGGGACGGCCTTCTGAGAAGCCTGCAGGGCTTTTAGAAAGGCAATGGGCTTCATTGAAGCAACTCTCCCGACAAGCCCTCTGGAAACCCACGGGCCCTTTCTACAAACGTTTCCGCCTTCCACGACGCCCCTCCGCCTTCTCAGAAGGCCGCCCCCCCTCGTGGCCCCTCCCCCCCCTGTGCGCGCCCGCCAGATCCGAGTGCCCCCTAACGTGCGGCAAGTTCGTGTCGTGGCGACTTCGGCGTTGGTTTCTGACACCGCGTGGATCGTTTTAACCTTGACCGATCGCGGCCTTCCGATAGCGCAGACCGCTCGATTTCCGCCGATTCTGAATCACTGGCGGTGTTCACCCTTTCGCACCCGTTTTGCTGTTTTCTTCCGCCCTGGCTGGTAGAGGCCCACTCCAGCAGCTGGAGCTCGGCGGGAGCTTGGGAGCTTCAGAGCGACGGCGCCAATGCCCCTGGTCGGCCTTCTTTGTTGGCCATGCTCGGGCTCCAGAGCCGATTCGACATAATGGTATTTGGAGTCCGCCCACGTGGGGTCAGAGTAGGCAGGGTCGGAAGATCGCACCACTGATCGCCAATACATCGGCGATGCACCAGCGACGCCAGGACGGAGAGAATCAGGCTCCGAATCGCGCCACATCGCAGATGCATCGGCGATGGGCGCGATCCTTTGGCCCCGTCCGAACGGCCTGGAATAACATATACTGGGTCATCACTGTCCATCTCATTCTCCCATCTTCGAGGACGAAGGGATAGACAGACTAACAAGCCATGCGCCGGAACGCGTGGGCGAAGATGAAAACTGCCAGCCTCTTCTCACCGCTTTGCAAGGAAGGCGGCACGCATGCTCTCTCTAATGCACCTCTTGCGCTGCAGGGGGAAGAGGGGAGGGGGATAGGAGAAAGAGGGAGGGAAAACGGAGGGAGAGACACAACATCAATGACAAATTGATGCCGTGCTGCTGGTTCGCTGACACATTGCATGATTGTTGGTTCAGACGTGAAGTGCGGAACGACAGCTTTGTATAACAACTTGGCCTAATCTTTTCTCGGCCGGCCTCTTGCACGACCGCGCGTATCTGTAGCTGGTCGCGCGCTTCCTGGTTGGAAGGTGAGGCGCCGCAAAAACAGAGTCTGTCGCCCTGCATAGTTTGCTAAACCACAACAGTTGAGACCTTAGCAGCTGCACTGTGTAGGGCTGTTGGCCTGATTGCAACAGCGCCTGCTCGTGGGAAAATCTTGAAAACTAAGCGTGGGGACTATGCAAACTGCGACGCCTCGCTTGGAAGCCATCCAACCTTCTGCGTTCAGACTTGTTGAGCCACGCCGAATTCAGCGACTACATATTTGAACTTCTCGCTAGTGCTGAACAAACTTGAAGTTTCCGAACAACACTAATTGACGAATGCTTCCAAATGCGCGCAAATTTACATGAATCACCCCAAGCAGCTCCCAATCTTCTGCTCAATTCTCCAGATAATTGCCCGGAGCTAGACAGCGTGGCTCCAGGATGTACCATCGAACCTCGTGGTTGGATTTGATCACCACTAGGCGTGCAAAGGTTGATGTCGCAGCGAACCGGCAGAAGTTGAAACTTGTTCCACTGTAGCTCCATGCCCACCCGTGGAAGGTGGCCCCGAAATCCTCGTCGATCGTGGTGTATTATCCAAGAGTGATACACTTGGGTTCGTAATGTCCAGACGATACTCCCATTGGATTATTGGCCTGTGGTTGGATCGGTGGCCTCCGCCTTCCCAGGATCAAGTTTAATTCCGGTAAAATGCATCTGGGGTCGATATTCCGACATAGTGAACCAGGGTTGATCCCAGTCCAATCTCCTTCTCAGACGCCCCCCCCGCTTCCGCCGGATCACTATCACTCCAGAGTAATAAGCCTGAGCTTATTTTACCCAGAACATTGCGACCCCCAGTTTTTTATGTTCTAGAGTGGACTAGGGTCAATGTTCTAACATAGTGAATCCCAATTTGGAGGCGCCAGGTTTGAGGAAAACGCGCAATGATAAGCGTTCCGGAATCATGAATCCGGATTCAGAATATCTGCCTATGGCTCAGGCGACGCCCCTCGACCTCCATTATTATCGTTCCAGAAAACTACACCGGGGTTCAACATTACCAGATAGTGATAAACCCAGATTAATATCCTTTCGCGGTCGATATGCCTGGAACATTATAAACCAAACCATAAAACGTTCTGGGGGGAACATTATGCACCCCACTCAAAATGTCCCGGAACATGACAACCCAAATTCATAATGTTCCAGGGGGACATTCTGAACCCTGGTCAATAATCCCGGAACGTTATAAACACAGGTTAATCTCTTTTTGGGGTTCGTCCTGCACCCGTGCTCCTGAGCGAGCGATTTCTGCCAGCAGGACTTGAAGTTGAACTTGGTTGCGGCCCGCCAACAAAGTGTCACCCGCATGCAAAAGTATAGCCGAAGTCTCGTCCGTCAAAACTTGTCGCACTCCAGCCCCCGCGTGGCGCGCGGCGCCCCGGATAACCGTAGTCATCACCATCGCGAACAGGAATGGGGACCATGGGCGTCCCTGCGACATTTCATAATATTGGCGTGTCTCTGTAGATCGCTGCCGTCCATCTGCGACGCGGAATGTTCTGCCGCCGTACATGCTGCCGATGATGTTCAGGATGCGGCCCAGGACCCTGGAGTTTCGCAGCGCCTCCGAAAGCGCGGTCGCGTTGGTCGAGTCGAAAGCCATTTTTCCAATCCGGCGCGACGAAAGCTACGCCCCCAATGCTTGTCTGCAAATACCAACTCGATGTTGCGACGTACAACACGGAGTGCCTCTGATGTTCCACGCCCCCGGCGGAAGCCGAACTGTGTTGGCGTTGTAGCACCTTCAAGATGAGCGCTGCCATGAGCCTGTAGGCCACGCGCAGCAGACTGATTTGACGATAATTGTCGCAATTGTCGAGCGCATCCTTGTTGTTGTAAATCGTCGAGATGATGGATTTCTTCGAATCCTCTGGCACGGCCTCCTCGTTCCAACATGTATTGCACACCTCCGTAACCCATTCGAACCCGCCCGGGTTCTGTAGCAATAGCTTTCGAATACTCGGCTGGTATGTCATCAATTCCACTAGCTTTGCCACGCAACAGATTACGTATAGCTTTTCTTACCTCTTCTGTTGTGAGATTTCCTTCCAGAGCTGGTACTGGGTCTCCAATAGGGTCGTCGTCGACTAATTGTGCCGGGCGTGCTTTACATGGTACTTTCTCCAAATACTCAGCCATTGTGTCTGCTCTTTGAGTGCTGTCGACCCATTCGCCACTCATGTCTTTAAATCATCCCTGCCTGTGGGGTTTGGGCCGGCAGAATCTTCTGAGAGCATCCCACCTTCCATTCGATATCTGCGCATCCACCCAAACTGTCTTGTCATGTTTGCACGCTGTGTAGATTTGTTCCAGAATCTCCTCCCCTCGGCTTTGTCGTTGGCTGCTCTTGCTTGACTGCGCCGGTCGATCAGGTCGAGCGTGGCTTGCGTGATCCATGGCTTGACGACTTCATTTTGCTTCTTCGGCAAGGTGTCGGTTGCGATATGCGTTGCTGTCTTCCCGTAGTCCCACATATCATGCACGTTCATGGACTCCGCCGTCGCCGAAGACGCGTTTTCTAAGGAATAATCCACGTAGGCATTAATAACCATCGGATCTTGCACGGCCTGCCTGTTTGGATGTCATTTTGAACATGTTGTTTGGGTATCTCTTGGCATCGATAATGTAGCAATCACCAAAGTGCTGCTTCTCGGCGGCTTCTAGCGTGACAATGTGCGTTCGCAAAGGGAACGAAATGGGAGGGGGCGAGCACAAGGGGGTGGCGCGAGTGGGGCGACAAAAATCGCAACATCGCGAACAATCCCGACGAGAGCCCTACACCCTACACCCTGTCGTTTTGTTCAATTCTCATGCCAAATCGATCTGTGATAGCCCCGGTGTCTGGAACGGGGCGCGAAAGCGCCCGGCATTACGGTAGCGCAACGCTCGGATCTGGGATCGGATTTGTGGGCGCATCGGCGATCCCTCGGTGCCGTCGCAGGATGAAGCGCGACTTGGAGCCCGCGAGCTGCGGCGATGGGGCCCGGCGGGGCAGCGAGCGGGCCGCGTGCGCCTGCCCGCCCGCCAGCCGGCGCTGGTACGGGCTGAGACCGCGCCAGGCCTGGCGGAATTCCTCTGCCTGGCGCGCCAGCTCCCGCGGGACCGCGCCCGTGGCCTCGCTTGGCTGCAACCCAGGCCAGCGGGTCAAGAACTGTGAGACCCGTCCTCGGAACGTCTCGGGACCCCGGGCGCTTTCCGTCAGCTGCGCCTCGTCGAAAGCGTTCCAGGGTTGCTGGAAGCGTTCCGAAAGGCCGCCCGAGATCTCGCTGGCAATTCCGAGGCACAAAACAGCCCGCGGCCTCGCTGGCAAGCGGCTTTCGAAGGGCTTCGGAGGCTTTCTGCGCCCAGGGCACCTTCTATCAGCTTCGCCTCGTCGAGAGCGTTACGGGTGCGCCAGAAGCGTCCCGAAGGGCCGCCTGAGGCCCGGGCTGTGGTCTGGTGCCCGCCACACGCGGGAGAGGCTCCAGGCGAGGGTGACCCGTGGTACACGGCCACGCAGCGATGCGTCGCGACAGTGGCGGCCTGCGTGCTCGGGCTTGGCCCCCCTGCGGTCACCGACGGCCGCACACCGAAGGTCACTCCAGCGACGGGAACCTCGCACGTGTTGCCCCGTCACCTAACAAACACGTGGTGGCGTCAATTAGCCAGACCCTTCTGGGCGAGAAAGCTGTCTCTTGGGTCTCGAGCCGGGTGCTGATTACCTCAGGGGCCTCTTGGGGACTGCTCAAAGACATTTCGAAGACCTCTTCAGCGAGCTGTTCGTGCCCCTGGCTGCCCGGCCTCCACTGGCAGGCTGACTCCGATCGGCTCTCCGCCCAAGTGCACGTGCAGGCGGCCTGTGTGGGGCGACATCTCGAAGCTGAACTCCTCCGTGTCGCCCTCCGCCTTGGCCCGTCCGGCGGCGGCCAGCCTCAGCTCCAGGGACTCCGCCGCGCCGGCGTCGGCGCCCTTGCCGTCGCCCTGTGACGACCCGCCCCAGGCATCTGACGTGGCCCCCAAGAGGCCTGGACCCTTTCCCCCGGACCGAATTTTCATCCCGAAAGATTTTTGACTTACCCGTGGCCGAGCCAAAGCCCCCAAGGCTGAACCATGTCGAACACGGCCCGTCGTCATTTTTTTCAGGACGCGAGACTGTCAAACTCTGTCGCTCTCCGCCTCGGTCCGCCCGGCAGCGGTCAGCCTCGGCTCGAGGGACTCCGCCGCGCCAGCGCTGGCGCCCGCGCCGTCGCCGTGCGACGGCCCGCTCAAGAGGGCCGCCGCCGCCGCCACCGCGCCGGGGCCGTCGTGGAGCTCCGACACCTCGAGGGGAGCGAAAGCGTGCACACGTCTAGCCTGCGTTCTAGGCAACCCTTCTGCACGCCAGCGTCAAGCTCGGCACGCGCCTCTTATCATGCTGCATGCAACCCACTCTTCCCTGCACACCGACTCGCTCTGCGCCGTCCTCCACCTGCAACGCCTGTTGGCAATTATGGCGGCAGCTAGTGTGCCTTGCTATCGCTCCCAACGGTAACGCCGCCTCGCTGGAGGAGGACAAGTGTTTATGTGTTTTGGTGGTCATTCTTGTCGCTCCCCCTGTGCTCCCTGTCTGCAGCATGGGCAGCATGCATCCGGTCGAACGCCACCCTCGACTTCAGAAAACGGCGAAAGGGGAAACGCCAAATTCCCACGAAGCCGGCGGATGGACCCCTCGCAGTGTCGTCGTCGTGCTACCAAGAGGGGCGCAATATCAAACAAGACAATTTTTTTGGGGTGGGGGCACGGCGAACCTCGGCCACGAACGTGTTCCCACGAACATGGAAACCAGACCCCCTTCTTGGCCCAAACCGTTTATTATTTTTGCTGTGGGGCGAGAGACTCGTGGACCCGTGAGCGGAGAACATCTCGGTATCTACGACCTCGCGGGCCAGGCCCCTGGACCGCGACACCGTGGATGGGGATTTGTTTCGCGGATGTCCCGCGCAAAACGTATCCATGCGATCTTGTATCCACGGGATCGCGCCCTGGAGTCCAGACCGCGAGGGCGCGGATATTGATACGTTCGCCGCTCATGAAACAACCACCACGGCCATGACATTGAGCAGGGCCAAGCCCAACAGCCAACGGCGGCTGAGGCACATTGTGTCAGGCCTGGAGGGCAGCCCGCGGGCAGAACCGGGCCAAGGACACGCGAGGACCAAGCAGGGGCCAACTGCGGACATGGCCAAATCAAAACAGTCGGCGTCAGCGAGGGCACAATTCCGGCCCGGGATCACCCATGCCCTCTTGCCTTTTTGAGCAAATCGCGACAGTCTTTTGGTTACGATGGGGATTTCGGAATTTGCGGGCTTCCACCAGGCCCCAAAGCCGTCAGAACACGTTTCGGGACGAAACGCCAATCCAGGGGTAAATGGGTCCAGACCACTGAGAGTCCACATTGAGAACAACATCGGAACGTCGGATTTCTGGGCAGTCGGAAGCACGGCCGAACGATGGAAATCGGTGGCGACCAAAGGCGCGGCGACGGACTCAGGGACAGTCGGAGGCACGGCCGAACGAAGGCGGTAGACTGCAAACGAAGCACGCTTGACGCCCGGTATGGTTTTCAAGTCAGAACTTGAGCCTCTGGCGGCCGTTCGGGACGATCTGGGCAGGGCTCGACCGAAACAAGGTTATCCGTTTACGTTTTGTTTTTTCCTCGTTATGTCTTCGTTCCGCTTTTGGTTCACAGCGAAACCAGAACGAAAACGGTCCACGAAATCGACAAGTAGTCCTTCGTTGACATTGGCATATGCTCTACCGTGTTGATAGGTATCTCTTTCTCATATCCTTGAAGCCTCTTGCTAAGGTTTACCCTCGGTTAAAATGATGTAAATCATGCGTCCCTCCATGCCACGAGTGTGGTAAAATGTCCGTCAAACTTCGGTTGACGCGACAGACAGACTAGACCTGGCCGGCCGGGCGGACGCGCGCGGCGGGGCGGGGCGCTTCTCTTCCTGTTCGAGCCAACTCACAGCTGCAGAAGCGTTGCTGTGAGGTCTAAATGGGCCTGGAGGGGCGTCTAAAATTCTCCCCGCGGCCGGCCCGGCGTGCTCCGCGCGCGCAGGTGGGCGTGCCTGCTTTAGGCAGCGCCCCATGTTTGGTGTGTGTGTGTGCATATGCACACATATATATATATATATGTATATATATATATATATATACATGTACGTACGTACGTACGTATGTATGTATGTATGTATATATATATATATAGATATATATAGATCGATAGATAGATGCATGCATATAAACGCGCCGGAGCCTACGGCGCTCGGCAGTCTGGCCCCAGACTGGCTCGCCGCGCGCGCGACGCAGGCGCTTCGCGCCCTCGCCTCATGGCGGCCCAGCCGCCCCGAACGAATGCAGTTGAGCCGCGCGTGTTGGTCTCGAGGGGGAGTCCAGCGACATCGTCGTTGGCCCCTTTCTCGTTCCTCCACGCGCCCTCGCCAGCGATCGCGGGAGCCCCTACTGTTTTTGTTCCAGCTATCCGAACTCCGCGTCCACGATGGCCAGCAATCATTGGCGTTGTCATGCCACGGGGTGGAGGAATCCGCGCGCTGCTCCGCGGCGCCGCGCGCGCGCCAAGTCTGGCGCCGCGGCGCATGTGCGTCTTGGCGCCGCGGGGCACCCGGGCGAAAGTCGCGGGCGGCTGGAGGGCGTAGGGTCGGAGTGTACCTGGAACAGGCTGCCCCCGAACTCTGCGGAGTGCCCCGCTGCGTCGGGTTTTCAGCGCGCCGCCGCCTAGAATCATGCTGGTCGACTGGCGCTCGGCTGCTGGCCCGCGTCGCACCTTTGCCGCTGCTCGCGCCGCCCTTCCCCTTGCCCGCGCCATCGCCCCCCGCCCTTGCTGCCTTCGGGCGCCCCGCAGGCTGCGCGGGACGAGGCCGCCTTGCGCCCTTCGCAGATGGCTCGCGCATCGATGCGCTGCGGACATAGTCAGCGGGCACGCCCGAGTACGTGGGCCGTGACATAATTGGAGGGGCCCCGGGAAACTCGGCCCGGGGCCAGTGTTCCTCGCTTTCCGCCGCCATGACAGCCTTGATTCTGGCAAGCGCCTCAATGTCCTCTGCGCCCGGAGCCGTCGCGTGCCGCGCGGGCCAACCGCGGCCCGGCACTTCTCGGTGGCGATCTTCTGGGTCATTGCAATCTCAATCGAAGGGGTTCAGTATAGAGTGTCCCTCTTCTGCCATCATCCGCCTGCTGATATATGCCCACCATTCTTCCGGGGGAACAACCGCATCTTTCCCTGTCGCTGGCGTGCCGAGGTGTTCGTTCTGGAACCTGATATACCTCCGGGCCAGCTTCCTCGCCTTCTCGATCTTGTAAAGATTCTGCGGCGGAGGCAATTCATCTTCTGGACATGTGGGCAGAAGACCGTCATGATGTTGTTGTGGAATGCGGTCTTACCCTGAAGGGCGTTCTCCCGCCGTCGGGCAATCGCAGTCTCAGTGGTCCCCGGCCATTTCTCAGGCGTATTACGCTGAACACGATCAGCGTCTACCTCAGTCCATCTCTTCGGCCCAAGGTCGCGGGCAGCGTCCCGGCGAACCGTCTTTTCAAAACCAAAGTCTTTGTAGACGACATTCGACTTGATCTGCTCAGTATCGGCAATGCGGGCCCCGTGCTGCACTGTCTTCCGACATGTGAAGCACATCGGCGTCCCGATCCGATTGCGGCAATTGTTGCAGCGCAGAAGGTAGCCGCCGTCCCACAGTAGGAGCGCATAGCGCGTCCATCTTGTCCTTGGTAACGAGCTCATCGCCGTCGTCCTCGTTGGGCAGGCGGCGGATCTCGCAATTCTGCTTCGCGAGATCAATGCGAGCCGTGCCGAGCTCGGGGTAAACCAGCAGGGCCGCGAATCGTCGGTCACAGACCAACGTCCACGACGCCCGTGCATGCTGGATGCCCGACGCAGTAAGCCGCGTACTCTGGTGGATGTCGGTCCACTTGGGGCGAGAAGTAGTTGCGTGCCGTCATGTAGTATCCAGACGTCGGGTTCCTCAAAGAGACGTGGCTGGAGAGTAACCGACTACTGTCTGCGCTCCGAAAGCACCCCATTCTCCGCTCCATACTGCGGAATCGTCGAGTGCAAGATACGGACCAGCATTAGTTGGAAGACAGGTTATGAATATATACTGGCGGATCCCCTGAAGATCGTTCTTTGGCGCTCCAAGATAGCCGGTCATAGACGGCTTGATAAAAGCGTCATCCATGGGGGCGACGATGGCTTCACGGGAAGATCTCGCAGCCACTGCGCACCGAATGCACATGCGTTTCGGGCCAACAGCCGTAACGGAATGACCCTTGCAGGCGCGCAACATCAATGTCACTCTTGCAGTGGGCGGCGAGACCTGGGCTCCCTCATTACCATCAACTTCCCCCATCGGAGCGTGCCCAAAGCTGTCCTCCCAGTCGTCGAGCTCAGCGGTTGGGCCCGTGTCCGGGTCCGTCATGTCCGCGCCAAGGGCCTGAACCGTGTGGAGAGGCAGCTGGGCGAAGGCATGCATGCAGCGCGCCCGCGCTCAATTGTGCCCCCCCTGCGTCGGACAACATCCTGGCGATGGCGCGCGCTTCAATCCACCTCCCTGAGCTGCGAACGCGGGCCGCGCCGTGCATCGCCAAGTTGGCGACGAGCGAGCCGAGGCATCCAGCTTCCTCCGCGCCCATGCCCGAATACCACGCAAGTGTGAATTGGTTCATCTGCGTTGAAACGAGCGCGGAGGAAGCGACGAGCCTTCGCGGCATCATCGGCAGTCAGTCGACGAAGAAGCTCGAGTAATGAGTCGCCAACCGAACCTCGCGCCCACTCAAGGGCCCTCTTCTCGTATCCCCTGTCTCTCCTCCCACGCTCCGCGAAGGACTCTGGGCCAGCGTCGCGCAACTCCTCCAGCCTCCAGGCCAGCTCGATGGGGGGGGCGCATAGCGCCCCGTCATCCACATCTTTGACGAGCGAAGCGCCATGCTCGTCCTTCTCGGCGTGCTCGAGCCCAACGCGCGCAGTTTCTCCGTGCTCTCCCTTTCTCTGCTTGTATGCGTCGATTGAGATCTGCTCGCTCTTGGGAGGCGCGTGGGGCTCCACTGGGGCAGAGATGCTTCGTCGGAAAGGCGTGAGGGAGCTTGTCGGAGAGCGCGTCCAGTGGAATCAGCTCAGGCGGACGTCCACGGGGTGAACCTCCGCAAGCTTGTCCGCATCTTCGTCCTCTGATTCGCTCGACTCGACTGTCTTCTGATTCGTCGGGCTCGTCATCTTCCGTTTCTTCCCCCTCCGCGAGACCCTGAAA